ACTTCACCAAGCCAAGACGAGGGAGTGGGCCTCACCAGGGACAGCAGGGGGCACTGTGCGGCGAAGCGCTGTGACAGTTGCCATGGCAATCTCCTCATTGGAGAACTTCTGGGTACAGGCGTGGCCTGGGGTGACCATATTGGGCTTCAGCAATGTGCCTTCCAGATAGACATGGTGGTCACTCAGAGCCTTGTAGACAGCAGCCAGGACCTGGAACACGGCAGGGTGATAAGGTGGAGGACAAGGATTACCTCTGAGTGGGACCCAGTCCACCACACTGCCCCGGCCAGGTGGATCGGCAACCTACCTTCTCAGTAACATACTGACAGCGCTTTAAGTCATGGTCCCCATCAGGGAGGATCTCAGGCTCCACAATGGGTACAATGCCGTTCTGTGGGGACAGAGGAGTGTGAGGACTCCTGACTGGGAACCTGGGAACCCCACCTACTGCTCTCCACCACCATTAGCCAAGATCTTATCTTGATGATAGTGAATCAAGGCTTCAAAGGCCTCAGCAGATTACTGGAGACAATCTTCTCAGGCTCACCCACACACCCCCATTCCCATCACCACTTTGCAGAGTGGCCTCCACTGGTGAGGCTGATGCCTGGTGGGTATGGAGAACAGTTGCTCTGGGGGAGGTAGATATCCTGGCAGATGGACAGAAAGCTAGCCCACACTGGAACCAAATGATGTAGGAGATGGCCTATTAGGGCCCTGTAGTCCAGTCCCACCTGCTGGCAGATGCTGGCATAACGGGCCAGAACATTGGCATTTTCCATGATGGCAAGGGCCGAGGGAGTATGTTCCCCAATCTTTAGCACACAACGCCACTTAGCAAAGTCAGCTCCATCCTTCTTATACTGGGCACAGCGTTCAGACAGCCCATCCAGCCCTGAAGAAGAGAAACAGTGAGGAGGGGCAGAGGCGTGACCCTACTCACTCCGGAACTGTGGTGAGCAGGTGAGGAAGGGGAGGAGGCAAATCACCTACCTTGGGTGGTGGTCTCGCCATTGGTTCCTGCCAGGGGCACCACGCCTTTATCCACCTGCCAGAGTACAAGGCAGCAATTCTCAGCTCTACCCCTCTTCCCTCCACCCAGCCCAACTCGACCCTCACTGCAGCCTCTCATGGCCTGCAAATATTTCTGAGTCCCATGAGGAAAGGAAGATACTTGTATTACTTGAGAGGAATACGAATTAGAATAGAGGAGCTGGAGCTACCTCTCACTAAGCAAACCATTTTACGGCTTTGGGCTTCAGTTTCTCCACTGTAAATGAGGAAAACACTTTAGAGCACTGCCTGGCATGCATAAGGAAGGACCTGGGTTTCATCCCCAAACACTGACAAAAAAAATGTGCTGAGTGCACCCCTTATGTCGGGAGCAAACCATACCTAAGTCTCTGGACCTGCTAACCCAGCATTCAATCCCTGCCCTATTTTTACCCCCCTAGATCCATCTCTAATCTCACACCCAGGGCCCTTACCTTAATACCCACAACACCGCCCTTGGACTTGATAACTTGGGGGAAAGGACGTCCATCGTCGGCCTTCTGGTACAGTGTCTCGTGGAAGAGGATCACCCCCCCAATGCAGGGATTCACACGGTCATCAGCAGTCAGCAGCAGCTGGCGGTAGAAGCGCCTGTTCTCTTCGGTATTCTCAGTGCCAATGGACTGCAGCCGCTTGGCAATGCTTCCTGAAGGGACGGTCACGAAGGAGGATAAGGGGATCAGCCCGCCACCTCCACCCCCGGTCCCTCCTCCCCCTTTCTCCTGCCTGTACCGCACCAGTGGACTCATCTGCAGCCAGGATGCCCTTGCCCGGAGCCACAATTCTATGAGCGATGTCAGCCAGCTCCTTCTTCTGCTCCGGGGTCAGTGCTGGGTATGGGTAGGGCATGGTGCCAGTGGTAGCGCGTTCCTGCGTGAAGCAGACAGTCGGGGACAAGTGGTTAGCTGGGCCATCCTAGAGTCTCCCTTGGCAAGACGGGACTTCGTCCCTGGAGGCCAGGGCAGGAGCCCCCACCTCCCCTGCCCCACTCCCCGAGGGTCCTGGGATACTTCCTGTCCCAGACCTCTCCCCTGCACCCAACTTCCCTATACTAGACCTGCCTCTTCCTGTACCTTTCTTTCCTAACTCTGTCTGCTGCTGGGTGTTGCCCAGCTGAGAGTGGGGCTGCCCACTGGCAACTGGGGGAAAGGAAAAAGCCAGCGCCAGGGACAGGCGGGTCATGTTGAAGCTGGACCCATCTGGCCTGCGCGTTGCCATGGGTCACCTTGCCTAGAAACAAAATCGAATCGGGAGTATTTTAGAATATAAGGATCATGAATAGGGCAGAGAGCCCAATGATCTGAAAGAGCAGAGAAAGAAATGGTCTGTGCTTGCAGCCACACAGCAACCCAGAGGCTAGAGCTGAGATAGAACCCAGATTTTCTGAGGTGGGGCGTCCCTTGTAATCTACCCAGGGCTGGCCTAGGCTTCAAGGACATCCCAAGGTCAGGCTTCTCCCTCCTGGATGGGCGGGGGAAGTGGAAGGAAAAGGGTATTAGGAAACATACAGAGCAATCAGAAACAGAGAAAGGGCTATGGAGCCCAGGTGGAAGGGAGGCTTTGCCTCCATGTTGCTCAAAGAGGAAAAGGTTTATAAGAGGCACGTGCCCCACCCCTTCCCTGAAAAGTGCTCCCGTCCGTTCGGCGGCAGCAGTTCCAGGCTCAGAATCAAGGTCACAAGATAAGGAAAGATAGTAAAGTGTTAATTGGCCACGGAGCGCGGCAGCTGAGGAGATTCCCCTCCTCCCCAGGGGCTCCCCCAGAAAGGAAGCAAACTCCCCGACCCCATCGAGGAACGCTGAGGCAGTATACGAACTGACCCCCCCACACCCATCGCTGCTTGGGGTCCCCGAATAGGCAATGGGACCCTAATGTTTGCATAGGGGGGAGTCCTTGCAAAAATAAAAATAAAAGAGGGGGTCTGACGTTCCATCTCATCTTGCTTCCTCCTCCGCCATGACTCAGCGCACGAAGCTGCTGCGTGGCGCAGCTCACTGCCAGAGCTCAGGCTGGAAAGGGCAGGAGAACCCGGGCTGGGAGAGATCGTGGGGGTAGAGAAGGGAGAAAGAAGCAAGGGGCCATGGGGATGGAGGTTCCGCGCTGCGGCCCTGCCCGCCACCGACCCAAGACCTAACCCCAAGGTCCCTTCCCCGCGCACGTGTCCAATGGCGCTCACCTGGCACAGGAGGGGTGGATCTGCCGGGTAAGGCGGTGGGTAAGCAAAAGGACCGAGGAGCGAACGCTGCTGGTCACCAGAACCCCGTTCTGCGGTGCGTTCCAAAAGAACGCAGCCTATTCAGCTGAGGGATGGGGGGGACGAGAGGCGGGGCCTGGGACATTTAAAGGCGCCGCTCCGCCCTCTGCGGGTTTTTTCCTTGCAGGGACACTAAGTGTCCAATTGCAGGCGGGCACTGCGCGCGGCACGGCCCCAAGATGCTACGATAGGAGGAGGCGCTGGGGAGGAGACAAGCGGCCAGAACCCGATCCCTCCTCCGCTCCGCTAGGACGTGACTCGAGCCACATCCCGCTGGCCACCAGGGTCCTCCCTCCCCCAGCTCCCGCCTGGCGCGCGCGCGAGCATCGTGACTCAGCCGGAATGTGGGCTGGCCAGGGGGTGGGGGTGTCAGTGAGATGATGGCTGGCCTCCCCTCCTAGACCCCTGGCTTCCGGCCTGCGCAGTGGCAGCCTGACGTCACTGAAAAGAACCCAGACGTTCCGCGCCTTCCTGCCTCGTTCAGCGCATGGCTACCGGGCGCAGCCGATCCCTCCCCGGGCCGAGCACCCACAAGGATCGGGAGAGGGCGACGCAGCTAGCAGGGTACGCAGGCAAAGCCTCCTCGGACCAGCGCGCCAGCACATCGCAGAAGAGTGGCCTAGCCTGGTCCGGACTAGACTAGCAGATTGGTTGAAGTCACCACCCGCTACACCTAAACACCATCTTTGAGGAAAAGATCGGCAGGAGCTGGCTCAAGCCGGACTCGTCTTCCCCAAACCAGATTTCCTACTCCTAAATAAAAATCCGTCTCCAACACCGAGCGGCAGTGGCGCATCCCTTTAATCCCAGCACCCTGGAGGTAGAGGCAGGCGGATCTCTGTGAGTTCGAGGCCAGTCTGGGCTTCAAAGCTACACAGAGAAACCCTGCTCGGAAACCCAAAATTAAAAAAAAAAAAAAAAATCCATCTCCGAGCTTCCTGTCACCCATTTACATCAGAGCATGCACTTCCCTCAGGCCCCAATCTGCAACCCCCTTCCCTACCCTGGGACACGGCTAGCGGCCCACCTGTGGCGCTGTGAAAGAAGCCGGCAGAGCCTGGTCAGCAGCGAGTGAGGCCAGCGGCCCTGGGCTGGGTTATAAGGCAGCGCTTACCCTCCACCCCTCCCCTCCACCCCCCTCCCCCTCCCCGCACCAGTGTCCCTTCTCCGTAACCCCTGCCCTTTCCCCACCACGAATCCCGCGGCAGGGACCTATATTTAGGGAAACCTGAGGCTCCTGACATTCATGCCAGCGTGGGGCCCCTGAGTCGGGGAAGAAAGAAAGTTGCTTCGGTTTGCCTGGAGAGGAGGAGGAGGCGCCCCTGCCCACTCACCGGTCTTTAGAAGAAACGCTTCCTTGAAAATACAGTGATCAAGAGAAATCAATGTCGAGTCTGGGATCTATAAGGCAGAGCAAGAAGTAAAGGGAGATTGGTGGGGTGTCTCTGGATGTTGCCTCCCACCGACTCCTCTGGCCCCCTCCTCCCTTGACTCTGGGCCTGCTGGTGGCTGTACTTTTTTTTTTTTTTAAGGAGCAAATACAGGCAGGATACTCACCTCTTTAACAGGGAGTCTACAGGCAGGGTGTGGCCGGCCATCCCTACATCTTGATATTCCCGGTTGGCAGAGCCCTCCCATACTGTTGCCAAGGTGAGCAATGTCCTGCATCCTCACCTTCAAGTATATCGTTTACCAGGGGAGGGAGGGGTTGATGGCCAGGGCACTGCCAGAACACCAGCCCCTTTTCTTTCCAGCCCTCCAAAGGGGTCGCAGTTCATCTGTCCAAGGGCCGTGGGAATCCTGTCCCGCAGGGAACCAGGCCCTCCACTCAAGGCTCCCAGGTAGCTAGGCTGGGCCCGCCAGCTGTAGTTCCAATGGCCTCGTAGTGGCGGCGTCCTGAGGGCCATTACAGAGGGGGCTCTGGGGGCGGGCCACTCCCCAAAGAACAAGCCCCCCACCCCCATCCTTCATCTGAGCTTGATCTCGAAACAGAGGCAGTTGAGGCTCTGGCAGTCCGGAAGCTGGCAGGCACAGGCACAGTCACACAGTGGGCAACAGCGGGGGCAGCGAGGGGCCCAGCCCTGAGGGAGAAGAGAAGGGTGAATTCGGGGACCTTCCTCCAACTGGAGAAGGGGACAGAGGGCCTTAGGGGGTCCCTCTGCCCAGTGGAACAGAGGGTTCCACCCACCATTTCTGGAAACAAAGCCATTCTCCATGCTGAGAACTCACAGGGATGTGGTACTCTAGCCGACCTCAGGAGCCCCCAAGCCCCAGGGGCTCTGTGGTGTGAGCAGGGGAACCAGTGAAGAACCAGCTTTGAGTCTGGCTAGAACTGGGGTGTCAGTGTCCGGCTCAAAGACAGTTCTGCTCTACCCCCCCAGCCCTGTGCAGCCCAGAGGAAGCCAAGATACAGAGAGCACGTTTCGATCCTCCTGAAGATAACTCCTGGGTTCCGAATGCTTTGCTGGCATCAAGCCAAACTGCAAGATGTCTTCCTTCCCTCTTTTCTTTATGAGACAGGTACTTAGTGTACAGCTCAGGCTAATCTGGAACTATGAAACCAAGGCTGGCCTCAAAAATCATGACAATCCCCTTGCTTCAACCTCCCAAGAACTTGGGTTTTCTTTTGTTCTTTGTTTTGAGACAGGGTTTCACTGTGTGGCCTGGCTACACTGGAACTCTTTCGATTCCTAGTGTAAAAGCAGGTGGGTCTCTGTGAGTTCGAGGCCAGCCTGATCTACATATTGAGTTCTAGGACAGCCAGGGCTACATAACAGCAGTGCAGTTCTCAGCCTTCCTAATGCTGTGATCCTTTCTTTCTTTCTTTCTTTCTTTTTTTTTTTTTGTTTTTTGTTTTTTGTTTTTTGAGACAGGGTTTCTCTGTGTAGCTTTGCACCTTTCCTGGATCTCACTCTGTAGCCAAGGCTGGCCTTGAGCTCACAGAGATCCCCCTGCCTCTGTCTCCTGAGTGCCGGGATTAAAGGCGTGCGCCACGGCTGTCCGGCTTAACGCTGTAACCCTTTAATACAGTTTCTCATGCTGTGCCCCCAACCACAAAATTATTTTTGTTGCTACTTCATAACTAATTTTACCACTGTTATGAATCGTAATATAAACATCTGTGTTTTCCGATGGTCTTAGGCGACCCCTGTGAAAGAACTGTTTGATCATAAAGGGGTCACAACCTACAGGTTGAGAACCGCTGACATAGAGAGATCCTGTCTCAAAAAAGAAACCAAACAATACAAAACAACGACAACAACAAAACCAACTTTCTAAGCCAAGTGTGGTGACTTGAGCCTGTAATCCCAGCACTTGGGGGACAGGAAGGCAGGAAGAGAGAAGTTCAAGTCCACCCGAGCTACGTGAGACCTTGTTTCTTATCGACAAACCAACAAACAAAAATAAAATAGAAGAGGCTAACGCGATGGTTCAGCAGTTAGAGCACTTTCTGCTCTTACAGAGGACCTGAGTTCAATTCTCAGCACCTACATAGTGGCTCAGAACCATTGTAACTCCAGACCTCAAGTGCCAGGGGATCTGACACCTTCTTCTGACTTCCTCAGGCACACACATGGTGTATCATTTTCCTCAGGCAAAGTGCTCATAGAGAAAAATAATAAATCTAAAGAAGAAAAAAAAGGTGTTTCCCCCTCAGTGCTGAGGACTCAGGACCTCATGAACACTAGGCAAGCACTTTACTATAGAGCTACCCTGAATGGGGAGGGGGCTTTTCACAAAAATGAAATGGAGGTTCACGGTGATTTGCCCAGAGGGATACAACCAGAGAGCAGAACTGGCTTGAACTAGAGTTGGTTTCCCCAGGCCTGGGTTTCCCTTGTGCCAACTTTCCCAAGGCCAGGAATGTCAGCTTCATTCTAAAGCTTCTAAGGCAAGAACAGTTGGTCTCAGGTTCTCTACTTGATGAGGACTCACGCCCTGCAGGTGTCTGAGCCACAGATAAACGCTGAAGTATAAACTAAGCCACGCATATCACTTTGCCCTCTTTAGGCAAAGGCAGAAGAGGGCCTCTCAACTCCAGGAAAGATGTCTGTCTCATGGACATAATGTCCTGAGAGATAGGAAGGGACATTCAACACTCCAACCCACAGCTCCTCTAGCCTGGGACAGGGATGTTCTGCAGCTGCCCCAGGCATGGATGGGAGGCAGGCCAAGGAGCTGCAGTGGACACACCCAGAGTGGCTGTGTGACAGAAGACAGGCTCCTTGAGGCCACGAGCAAAGCTAGTGACAGCCACAGTTGGATCAGAAAGCGGGCCAAGCCAGGAATAGGGAAATGACCTTTCCAACAGCTGAGGTTTCGGGGTACGGTGTCAGATGACCAGTGAGATCAGCTGTCAGCAGAAGCTCCAGCGAGGGGAGGCGAGCAGCCAGCTCCAGGGAAGGGGTCTAAACTGGACTGTGTCGCCGCCAACAGGGGGCGAAGGCTGTAGGCAGAATGGTGGAAGGGAGAGAGAAGTGGTTTCTCCATGTGAAGAGTGGTTTGGGCATCTCTAGGGATGAAGTCGGGTCTGTGGGTTTCTGGAGGACCACACCATCGTGCTGTGTACAGAGCCACTGGCCAGAACACTTCTCTGCCCTTACCTCAGAAAAGAGGGTATTAAAAGCATCTCTTGGCTCTGTTTGTGCAAGGGTTTAGTCCAGCCATTAACTGGCTAATGGATTTCTTGACTCTCACCAGCAGAGGTTTCTGGAAGAACTCTACTGTTTAAGTATAAATAAGGACTCTGCAGCCTGTTAACTCCTGAGTTCTTGGGTGGGGTTACCTTTTGGACTTTGGGAGGGTCAGACATTTTTACTGGCTAATTAGTGCTCAAGCACTAGAGTAATAAGACCTAGGTGGGAATTCTGCTTGGCTAAACTACGTCCTGAGCCTCTGTTTCCTCGTCTCTGAATCAGACATAGCACTGACTTTTCAGCGTCAGTGGACGGAAACGAGACCCTGAGTGAGTGCTCGGTGGAGCCGGCCACACAGTCATCACCGTCTGGTTTCCCTCTGTAGTTTGTTTGTGTGAGATAGCGTCTCACTATGTAGCTTTGGCTGGCCTGGAACTCGCTATGTAGCCCAGGCTGGCCTCCAACTCACAGAGATCCACCTGCTTCTCCCTCCCCAGTGGTGGAATCAAAGGTGTGTGCTACTAAGGCCGGCTTTAGTGGCGGTTCTTAATTCTCATGTGCATCCAAATGACAAGGGCTTGTTAAAAAGCACCAACTACAATCCCACCCCAGACCCACCGGCGAAAGGCCTTGGAGGGCTGCCACGTGAGGCTGCCACGTGAGGCTCCCACTTATTTCTGATCACCTAGCTGCATGCCACCCCCTTTTCCTACTCCTAGAACTGGCTACTCATCTATCTGTGGCCTTCACCACAACATGAGCCCTGGGAGCCCAGGGATACCGCCTGGCTTACTTGTGCTGAGCCCCCAGGGTCAGGACAGAGCCTCACACTGTGGCTCTGTGTGTACTGTACACACGAGATAGGGAAGAAATGAAGGAACTCCATCCTCCTAACAAAGCAGTTCAGTAAGTAGGTCTCTCCTACAGAGAGGAAGAAAACCTTGGGTTTGTGGTCTGGCTGGCGCATCTGTCTGACCCCAGGCGAGTGAGTCACTCAATCTGTTGTGAGCCTCAGTGTCTACCCTTGCCAAAGAGACAAGCCCTGTAACCTTCTGGCTGGCATTGTTACCATAAGGAACCTGGAGAACAGAGGGACTTCAATGTGCTTTGAGGAAAGACAGATCAAGGACAGGACAAGCTTGCCCTAGCCTTGGCCACTCTACATCTCTTCCTGTATCCAGCAGAAACTGGACAGGATCTGATCCACAGGTTCTGAAGCCCTGGGCCACCAGGTGGGAGACTCGGTCTTCTCACAGCCAATCTCAGCTCATCATTGGTGCTGAGAAGTTGATCCCTGACTTGTCACTCGATGTGGACACACAGGGAAGAAGACAGGGTGTCAGGACCATGAATCATCCTGTAACTCCTTATGATAGGCGTTCTTAGAACCTAAGGTCTCCTTTTCCCCTATCCCACCTGGGAGCACCCCCGTCTGACTAGGGAACCAGAAGTGGCCTCTTGGAAAGAAAGCTCGCTGCCTTCCCTCACTATGAAGCCACAGCTGGCCTGGAACTTGCTATGCAGACCAGACTGCCCTTGAACTGGCACTTGCCTCTGCTTCCTGAGGCTAGGACTGAAGGTATACAGTGCCAACGCCTGGCCCTACTGACTGCAATTATCTTGCAACATAGGTTTACATTTCTTTATTTTACATTTATCTTGTATGTGTGGGTGTTTCGGTTGCCTGGATGTCTGAGCACCACTTGTATGACTGAGGAGAACAGAAGGGGGCTTCCGATCCCTCGGACCTGGCAATGCAAACAGTTCTGAGTCTGAATGTGGGTGCTGGGATTCAAACCCGGGTCCTTTGAAAGAGTGGCCAGTAATCTTAACTGCTGGGCCATCTCTCCAGCCCTCATACTTATTTTTTGAGATAGGGCAGCTTGCCCATACTGGCCTTGAACTTCTGATGTAGCTTTACCTTGAACTTCTGATTTTTTTTTTTTGAGATTTTATTTTTATTTCATGTGTATGAGTGTTTTAATGCATGCCTGCTGCCTATGGACCAGAAGAAGGCATCCATACCTAGTTTATGCAGTGCTGGGAATCAACCCTGCGCCTCCTGCATTCTAGGCAAACACTCTATACCAACTCAACTAAATCTCCAACCCTCATAATTTATTTTGAAACTCAAAACATCTGCCAGGGATTTGTACCAAGTACAATCAATCCAAGTTATGAATTTGCTGCGGCTCAGTCTGTTACCCCCCTCTGCTAAGGAAGGTCATCACTTCAAGGACAGGAACTCTGTTGTCTAAATCTCTGAACCCAAAATAGTCCCTGTCCAAGAAAGTGGTCGAGCACACTGAACATTTTTAAACCCATAAACGTAAAAATTGTCTTCTGTGGGTCAGCTTCCCCCCCCCCCCAGGATCCTATTGTGACTTAAACTGAGTAGTTTGCTAGCCGAGGCTTTCTGTGTAACACTGTGAAGCCACAACCATCCCGAAGCCCTCTTACCCCTCTGCAAGAGGGGCAGAATAACATGTATATAGCTCCATGCTCAGGCATGGACACATGGCCAAGGTGTGCTGTCCAGCTGAAATGGTCCTGGTGAGGCACACTATGTGTGGGCTCCACCTTTGCCAGGGAGGCAGTAACGCCCAGGAGTAACCCACGCATGAGGGTAACGCACACACAAGACAACTGTGCAGGCCTGATCTAGACACTGACCGCTCCTTCCCATCTCTGCTCCCCGCCTCCCCTTGTTTCTTATGACTCTAGCCAAGTGCTCGACCACGCTGCCTACATGAGTAGTTTGTAGACAATATTTTTTGTAATAAAAATGTAGGTTTGTTTTTATTTATTACAAAACCCACTTGTAATCCTAGCACTAGGGAGGCAGAGGCAGAAGGATCTCTGTGAGTTTGAGGCCAGCCTAGTTTACACAGCAAATCCCAGGCCAGCCAGGGCTACATAGTGGGACCCTGTCTCAAAAAAATCAAAACAGAACAACCACCAAGCCAGTAAAAATCCAGCTTGCTTAATAATTAATGATTTAATTTAAGAAAGAGCTAAGCTTCCCACCATCTTGGTGCCTGTGGAGTCCTGTTGGAAACCGGACCTCTAAAAGGCAAACATGTCTGAAAGGCCTGTCCAAGGCCATTTTTGCTGGCTGGAAGCGAGGTCTCCGGAACCAAAGAGAGCACATGGCTCTTCTTAAGACTGAGGTGGTTATGGCTGAGATGAAACTGGATTCTACTTGGGCAAGAGATGTGTTTATGTGTATAAACAAGGGCAACACACTGACTCCTAGAGGCAAACTGAAAAGCCAGAGTAAGCTGGGAAGGGAACGTAGAGCCATGGAAACAGCGGCAGGGCCCGCGCCAGAGTCCAAACCAACCTTCCTGCAAAGGCCACTGGTCATAGAATCCTCTCAAAAATTTAAACTAACCGAAAGGAAATAAGTAAAAATGAAAAAAAAAAATTTACAGTTAAACCAGGCACTGGTGTCACCCACCGACAGCCTCAGCACTGGGGGGACAGAAGCTAGAGGGCCAGGAGTTTAAGGCCAGCCTCGTATGCAAGACCCTGCTGCAAACAAAAATTTAAAAATTAAGTCATGTTAAATTTAAATCACTCCTCAGCAATCAGAGCTGCTGGTGGAAACAGTACACTGAATACAAGAGCGCTGTTGTCTGGAATACAACATCACCCAGTGAACAGAAGGGGGTTCGCTGAGATCAAAGCTGGGTCCTGGTCCACACTGGGCAGGCTTACAGCCCTGTTTTCTTTTAAGTACCGTGTTCACAAGTCCAGATTATGTACTGGGCGTGTCTCACAAACCATCTTTCTCCAGCAGTCACCCTATTTTCTTTTCATCATCACCAGAAACAATCTGATATGCTGCTGTGTCGCTTTCAGCTGTCTGCCTATGACTCAGGCCCCGGCCTGGGGTTAGTGCTCAGTAATAAATGTGCTGAACAAAGAAAAGGAAGGCCCGGACCATACCCAGATGAGAGGGGACTGTGTGGGTGAAGAACAGAACTCACTTCGCTGGGATGAGGGCAGCAGGCATCCAGGTAGTGGGCTGGACTGGGCAGAGGGAAGTCACAGGCTTCTGCGCAGCTCCAGCAACAGTCTTGGGTCTCGGAGGCAGTCTGTTTTCTGCACGGGAAGCTGCAGTCTGTGCAGCAGCCCTGAGCCTAGAAGATGACAAGACTCAGGATCTGGGCCAGACAACTCTCTCTTTACTTTCTGGAGAGGGGTAAGGGAAGGATTAAGTGGAGTCAAGGAGCAAGATTCCCGTGGTCCCATGAAAAGGACAGATGCTCTGACTGAATGGTAAAGGTCAAACGCTTGCAAGTGAGGGGACATACTAATCCCCCCCCACCCGCTCCCCTCCAGGCTCCTCACCAGCAGGCAGTGCCTCGCCAGCAGCACTAGGCCCAGCAGCAACAAATACACGCCCACCGCGATGAAGACGATGGCCGGGATGGGGAGCAGTAGGGAAGGGCTGCTGATGGAAGAAGCTGAGGCTGGATTCCATGGGCCCGAGGAGGCCTGGACAAGCACAGAGGAAGGGGGAAAGGGAGGTGGGGCAAGAGCTGGACAGGATGCCAGGAGGGCACAGAGCTAGGTGAGAGGTCAACAGGGTACCACCCTGACTCGCCACCGTGTCCCTCTGCCATCCTCGTTTTATTACCAAGTACCGGCTGTCGATTTAGTATTATCTGCGAAACACCGCCCTTCTTTGTAGACTCCTTCTCTGCACAGATTTTTGTATCTAACTCCGGTATGACAAACTTCCCACCCCGCAGCCCTCATCACTGGTCCCTCTTCCGACTTGTTTCTTCCCACACCAGCTGCCCTGGTATCCCCACCCACGGCTCCCTACAACTGCTTATTTCAAAGCGCCCCCACCCTAGCCCTAGCTACTCCTCCCCCCGCCCCATACCCTGCCATCACATGAGGTCTAAGCGGTTCCCGAGGCTCCATCCTCTGCCCGGGCCCCAGGCCTCTGCCTGTACCGCTGGCTGCCCGGTTGTTACCACACGATCTCGCTAGGAATCCCCCAAACGGGCCACCTCCCGGGAAGTGAACCCCGGGCACTGTCTGGCGGCTCCTGTCCGGAAGAGTTTTTATTGGATAGAAGGTCCCCTCCCCAGCACCTAATACTGGACTCACGTCCATGGGGAAGGGCAACACAAGTCCGTCCGGGAGCTGCAGAACAGAGAAGATTCTGGGCTCAGAGATCGAGTACCCCTCGGCTGGGGTACCCAATCTCCTCTCTCTTCCTGCGTGGGAAACCTGGGGCCCACGGACGACGGCTGGACAGGCGGGGGTCTCGGGGTCCCACGCCTTCCCCTCCGGCCTGGCCACGCCCTCCGCAGTCCCCAGGTCCCGGCTCCCTCGGGCCACGCGGCCACAGCACCTATACCCGCAGGGCGGCGGTTTACAGATCCCGCGCCGCCTTGGGTCCGAACCGCCAAGGCGCCAGCACCGCCCAAGAGCTTGGCGCTGCTTCTTGCCGTTGCCATGGGGACCGCAGTGCTGCCTCTACGGCGGCCGCAGAGACCCAAACTCTCTATTCCCGCCTCACTGTACCGGCTCTGCCTTCTTGGACCACTTACCCTAGGTCATCGCCACCATCCTGGCTTTCCCTCCGGAACTAGAGGGAAACAGCGAATTCTCGCCACCGCTGGCCCAGGAAGGGTGTTCGTTAGATGCTGGATGCCGGAGGAGGCAGGCTGGGTCCACTCCCTCTTCTGCAGAGGGGGAACTGCCTGCCTCATCCATACTGTGTTTCTAAACTTTATTTTCTGGAGAGGGGCAAAGAAGGATTAACTCCCCTGGTCCCATGAAAAGGACAGATGCTCTGACTAAATGGTAACCGAGTCTCAAGACAAAAGCTTGTAAGTGAGGGGAGATACTAATCCCCAGGTTCCTCATCCCCAAGGCCTACCCCTTTCCTCCCTGCCAGGCTCCTCGTTAATTTTATGGAAATACCAAATGTCTTTCAGCCCGTTTCACTTCACCAGCTTTAGTCCTCCCCCCTTCTCCCGCGCCCAGCTTTTTGCATTTTTTTCTTTCCTTCGTTCATGTTTTGTTTACTAAGACAAGGTCTCGTTCTGTAACCCAGGCTGGCCTGAAACTCACACTATGTAGTGTAGCTTGGTCTGGGCCTCACAGCAGGTCCTCAGCCTCCTGAGTGCCATGCCTCACACCTGGTCCTGTTCTTATTCTATGCTGAATCACCATAACCCACTGACTGCAAGATAAAACACAGCGTTAGCAGACTCCACGTCATCTACTCAGCATCCTCTGGCTTCCCTCCACAGCTCCAAGAATAAAGCCAATTTACTTCCCTCCTGCTGACATTCTATTGGAGGACAGGGCATACATATATAAATAGATACGGTTTTGTGCCGATCAATTCTTTCAGTGCCCCATGTAAGATGTACTGAAGGGATGCTGAGCCATGCCCAGAGTCTCAGCTCTGAGGCCTTTGAGACGCTGTTCCCTCTGCCTAGAACATCCTTCCCTTTCTTTCTCTTAAACTCCTTCCTCATCCCCCAGGCCAGTGCTTGGCTTTGTCCTTTCAGGGTCTTGCTGCACACTTCAGGCAGTAGTTGCTGCCTTGGGTTCTGCCCTCTTCAGCCTCATCCCAGGGTGCTGAATGTCGCCATGTCTGCCTGGCCCTGGGTCAGACAGCTAGTGCTGGGCTGCTTCTCCTGATTTGTTTCCAAGCTCTAGCACTTGGCCTTGGGACCACCCAGAAAACAATATCCACTGACTCGATAAACCACTCAGGTCCATATCCGACTCTACTTGCTGATGAAGTGTTTTCTGGCACCCGTTCCCTTGGCTTCCAATGTGCTCAGCTTCCCCGAGTCACTCCTAACCTTCTGGGTGCAAAAGTGTGCACATGCGTGTGCACACACAGAGACACACCTCCTGTGGAGGCCTGGGATACAGTGCCACCACACACCTGCATCTCTTCCCTCCCGTGATGTACTTACAACAGCTGCTTTCCCGGATTTCCTTTTTTTTTAAAATTTTTCATTTACTTTTTATTTTATTTTATTTCTCCAGACTCTCACTATATAGCTCTGGGCTGCCCTGGATATGTAGACCAGGTTGGCCTTGAACTGGGATTAAAGGTGTGTGCCGCCACTATGCCTGGCTCCCATGGGCTTTTTTCCACCACAAGAAAGCTACAGAAATTGTCAGGTGGTGGCGCTGGACTTTGATCCCAGGGCTCAGGAGGCAGAGGCTAGCAGATCTCTGTGAGCTCAGGCCAACCTGGTCTACAGAGTGAGTTCCCAGACGGCTAAGCTAAGGCTGTCACACAGAGAAACTGTCTCTAAAAACCAAAAAAGAAAAGAAAGAAAGAAAAGAAATTGTCCGAGTCTGTGCCCTATTGTGCAGTTTCCTCCAAGACTGAAACATTCCACCCTTCAGGGAAGCTCCTTAAGCCGGAAGGTAAACAACTCAAAATAGCTTCAGGAAGTCCCTGAGTCTGACCAGATTCACCAGGCCTCTACCTGCCAGGGTAAGCAATAAATGCTGAGAGTTCCTCTTAGACAAGACACGCTGTAAAGATCCTTTAGACTTAGGCCAACTGAGTCACGTGGGAAGGACACTCTCCAACCTTTCGAGCTGCCTGCAGGCTGTGCAGTGAGCTCCAGGTTCTCAGTTTTTGTGAGCCGTCACCTCACCTGGGGTGGGCTTTGGTGATGCAGCTGTCTGTGAGTCATTCCTGCTCCTGTACATAACCCCTCACCCATATTCCTGTTAAGTAACCCCAGCAAAACTTATTGGTTCACCAAGTTGGACCTTGGTGGTATCCGTACTTTGGTCTTTCCTAGGCTGCCTATCTGGGGTGAGTAGATCGTGTGTGTGTGTGTGTGTGTGTGTGTGTGTGTGTGTGTGTGTGTGTGTGTGTGTGTGTGTGTTTGTGTGTGTGTGTGTGTTTCCCCAGGAAAAAAGTTTTGTCACACAAGAGCCTCTGGGTCCTGAATCCCCTTTGAGCCTTCAGTCACATTGCCAGGGGCCCAGCCATTCCTTACGGCCCCTCTAGCCTTCTCAGAGATGACTTTGAGCACAGAATGCGTGCTCAGCTAGTCCCTGATGTCAGCATTGTTGACTTGAAGCAGTATCAGATTGCCTCCTTGAGATTCTTTTTTTTTCTGAGTCTCAAGGACCAGGATGAGGCCAGTTTCCATCTCCACTGTAGAAAAGGTCTCTAATGATGCACGCTCCACCCCCACCGCCACCCCCATCTTCAGCCCCTTCCAACAGACAGATGTGAGCCTTGGCACGGCCCCAGCCTCACCCATGCTCTGCAGTGGCCAGACTCACTGCTGATGGAACTCTGTTCCTACCATTGGCTCCTCCAGAGTGTAGGAGGGCAGACAGTGTCCCAGACAAGCCAATAGGAGGGATGATATCTGTGCCTCACTTTGCCACGGCCTCCCTTCTACTCACATTATACCAGCAGTAGGAGGTAGGGAGACGCTGACTTTGCCATAGCCAATAGCTGCCATGCTCATGCTACCTGAAGTTCAAAGCTGGGGGTGTCAGATACGATAGTGTTGAACTGACCCAGAAAAGTGAGAAAAGGATACCATGTTCCCCAGCATCATGGGCTGGCTGAGAGATCCAGAGGGACCAGCAGGTGAAAGAAGCTTTGGCAGGCTCAGATATGACCCTGAGAAGGATCATTTTGATCTAATAATTTCAACCCCTCTATTGGCTATCAGACAACATTGGCTTCTAGATATTAAGAAAAGGCTCCTGGGCTGGCAAGATGGCTCAGCAGGTATACCCATGTCTGATGAACTGAATTCAACCCCCAAAAGCCATGTAAAGGTGGGAGGAAGGAATGGACTCCTCTGATTTCCACACACACATGCTATAGTGTGGATGCATCACACACACACACACACACACACACACACACACACACACACACACTACAGAGAGAGAGTTTTCTCAGCATCCCTAATATGAAAATGAAAGCCACAGACTGTGGTGGGCCACGCCTTTTCTCTTAGCACTCAGGAGGCAGAGGCAGGTGAACTCTGAGTTCAAGGCCAGCCTGGTCTACAGAGTGAGTTCCAGGACAGCCAGGGCTATGCAGAGAAACCCTGTCTCAAAGCAAATAAACACAAAAAAGAAGATGAAAGGCCCTTATCATGGGGGATGAAGAAGCTGCATTTGCGACCTGCCCTGGGCCAAGTCGGCCGGCTCTCATACCTCTGGTCCCAGAACATGGGAGGTAAGACAGGAGGATCCTTAGTTTGAGAATAGTCTGGGCTACATATAAAACCCTGTCTCACAGGCTGGGAGCAGGGTGGCTCAATGGTAGACTATTTTCAAGACATGCACAAGACTCTTGGGACTTAATCCCAAGTCCCATAGAAAACAAATAATCGGACAGTCATTAATGACTACCACAGTGAGATCTGGTATAGGAACTGTACTTTATGCCTACCTTTTTGAATCCTTCCCAGAAGCCCTTAGCAGAGTTCCTGCTAGTGTCCCCACTTGCACATAAGCATTCCAAGGCTCAGGGGGATTGAGTCACACAGCTGTTCCTGGCAAGGGAGCGGCAAAACCAGGATTCAGACCCAGGCAATATGACAGAGGCCCAGCAAGGTTCTGAAACGATGCCAAGATCACACGGACAAGCCGTGGAAGAACAGATTAGTGGATCTGGGGTTGTCTGTGTCCATCTCACAGCCTGTACAGCTCAGCTTTTTCTGGGGTGAGGAGAAAGGGGAGGACCAGACCTGCTTGGCACCGTATGAACTCAGGACAGGTACAAACGAAAGAACTAAATAATGAATGCCCGGCACCGGGCCAGAGTGTTAGGTGGGAAACAGACACCACAAGCTGCTCGGTGGCTACTTATTTACGACCTTGGGGACATCACACCCGCATACTCAACCATCTGCCATCCGCCCGCCCCGGGTCCTGAGAATGAGCCTGGGAGCCGTTGGACAAGGGAGCTCAAAGCAACAGGAAATGGTACACCCCAGCCCCAGAGGACCCTGCTGACAGGTCTGCAGGGGTGGGAGAGCCGGGCAGGGGTGGGAGCCTTCCCCGGTGAGCCAGGCTGAGGGAGGGAAGGACAGGGAAGAAGTCACCTCTTCGCAGGCTATGTCCAGTGGCTAAAAACCTTCCTGGTTGCAGTCCCAGGCTGGTGGCTGCTCCCAGAGACTTCTAGAACACGTGGACGGCAGCAGTGGGTGGAGGGTACACCATCTTGAGTTTATTTTAGGTGGCATGCCAGTTCAGCAAGAACACACACACATACACTCCAAGACACACACACACACACACACACAGACACACACACACACACATACACTCCAAGACACACACACACACACACACACACACACACACATACACTCCAAGACACACACACACACACACA